GGGAGGGGAGTGGGGGCTGGTGGGTTAGAGCGGGAGGCTGGGAGCCAGGACTCCTGGGTTCACTCTCTCTCTCCCTCCACCTCCCCCAGCCGCTCCAGCTTGAACGCCAAGGCCCACGAGAACATGATGCTGCACTACGACGGGCTGGACCTGGCGGCCGCTCTCACCAGCATCCCCACGCCCCCCTCCAACACGCCCGAGAGCCGCCCCCCCTCGCCCCGCGCCCTGCCCAACTCCAGCCTGCCTGCCCCCTACCTGCCCCACCGCATGGTCAAGATCTCCTCCTTGTAAGGGCGGGGCGTGGAGCGGCTGTGGGGGGAGGGGGGTGCCCTGTCCCCTCTGCCCGCCACCAGGGCCCGGACACCTGGGTTCCACCTGCCTAAGGGCCATCGTCTTCCACAAACGCTGGGGTGCCAGCTGCCTGACGGCCTGGAGTGGCCCGGATGCCTGGGTCCCCCTGCTTCGGTGCATGTCCTCACCTGGCTGCCTTGGTCCCAGGGACATCGTCTTCCACAAACGCTGGGGTGGGGGCATCTGCCTGAGGGTCTGGATTCCTCCCGGACACCTGGGTCCCACCCCCTCCCCCCTGCTTAGGCGCATGACTTCGCCCGGATGCCTGGGTCCCGCCACTGTAGCGACACAGTCTTCCACAAACGCTGAGGTGCCACCCGCTGAGGGACACGGCCTTGTCCGGACGCCTGGGTCCTGCCCCCCCCCCACACGCCCCCTCAGCTCCCTGTTCGAATCAAAGCCATATCTCGGGGACAGCTATGCAAGACGGGCAAACGGGACTACTTCCAGGGCTGGCCCTAGGGGGCGGAAGGATACGGCACCTGGGTAAAGCCTTCGACCCCCCCCCAACCCCGCGCCACCGCCCCAGGGGAATGTGGGCAACAAACCTGGTTAACCCAAAGCCCTTGAATGGCCTGTGCAGGGAGGGGAGTGGGGGCTGGGAGCCAGGACTCCTGGGTTTTCTCCCTGGCTTGGGGGGGGCAGGTTTGGGCCAGAGATCGTTTGTGGAAGCAGCGAATCAGCTTCCACCAGGATTCAACCCCCACCCCGCCCGGATCAGACCCCATGGGCCATATAGCCCAGTGCCCCCCCAACCACGCCGCACTAGATCAGAACCAAGGACCTGTGGGGCTGGACTCCTGGGTCCCTTCCCCACCGCCTTGGATGGCCCCATCTACTCCCCACCAAAGGGGACACACCCAGATCTCACTCCCCCCCCCCACTCGAAATCCCAGCCCCTGGACTATGCATGTGTCTCTTCCACCACCGGGGGGCGCTGTCCATGGCTGCCGACCACCACCTGCATGCATCTCCGTTCTAGACTCAGTGGGAAGGCTCCTCTTTGGGGGAGCAGAAAGGGGGGTACCAGACCCCCCCAAATTCCACCTCCCCGCCACCTTCCCGGGCCCTTGCCTAGGTACAAAGATTGACGGGGACCGGACGCCGAAGCCAACGACGTGCTCTGCTAATAACTTCATGCCTTCGATGGGACGCCGGCCACCTCTGATCCGCCTCACGGGTGCCGTTCTAGACATTCGGGGGTGGGCAGGACGCCTGGGTTCTCAGCTTGGGGAAGGGAGTGGGGGCTAGTGGTTAGAGCAGGGGGGCTGGGAGCCCGGACGCCTGGGTTCTCTCCCCAGCTCTAGGAGAGGAGGGGGTTGTCTCGGACCCCCAGCCCTGCCAACAGCCTGTAGGGCTGTTGTGCCCCTGACAAGAGTGGCAGCGGTATTCCGCTCACCCGGCACTGACAGTGGGGCGGGGGTTGCGAGGGTGGGCAATGCAGGGACGAATGCGTGCGCCCCCAGCACAGCGCTGCGGGGGGACAGCCAGCCCCGAGGACGGGCCAGTAGGGGGTGCTAGACGAGAAACAAGCCACGGGACCCGGGTTGGGGGTAGGTGCCCCCTAGTCCCACCACGCGCTCTGGGGGAGCAGGCACCTGATTGGTTGAATAGCACAACGCCCAATTCCTTGCATGGCCACTGGGGGGCAACATGGAATCTGCTGCACCCCCCTCCCATCTAAAGCAATATACCCAGTGGGTACCCCCTCCCCCGAGAGAGCATCCCTATAGGGGGGAGTCCCGACCCCCCCACATACTTCCCCCTTCAATTTACCTCCAAGTCTACATGAAGACGAGTGGAAAAGTTGGGGCGGGGGGAGCCGGGACTCCTGGGTTCTCTCCCCAGCTCTGGGAGGGGAGTGGGTGCTAATAGTTGGGGGGGGGGGAGGCTGGGAGCCAGGACTCCTGGGGTCCTCTCCCTGACTCAGTGTGTGACTGGTCAAGTCACTTCAACTCAGGTTCCCCTTTGTGTCCACAGGGGGAGAATAAAAGTCACCAGCTTTGGGGCAGGGAGCTCGGCAGTTTAACCCCTTAGAGGCCAGAGGTGCGTTCGAAGCACCTTGCATGTGGGGTGCGGGGGGGGGGCAGGACAGAGGCTGGGGGGGCAGAGAAGCTGGGGGTCGAGGGGCTGCCCTGAGCCCAGAGCGGCGGCGCTGTTGTTGGAGCAAATACAATGAAACGTGTTGAAACTCAGACCCCCGACTCCCGACCTTCCTTGGGGCGCGGGGGGGGGTGAACTAACAGGGGGTGCGACACAAGGGGGCCCCTCTGGGGGGTGTCGGCTCTGGAGGGACCCAGGGCAGGGGGTGGCTGGGGACTGGGACACGGGGCCTGTCCCCACTAGGGGGCGCTGGCTCAGCGGTGTGTGTAAGGGAGCCAGGACTCCTGGGTTCTCTCCCCAGCTCTGGGAGGGGAGTGGGGGCTGGTGGTTAGAGGGGGGTG